TGGGAAAACAATAAGTCTTTGCATTCACTTTCTGCAGCACTGACAATTGTTCTTTCTGAGGCATTTGAAGAATCTACCAGTCACAGGTCATCAGCACGAGATCTGCATTGTGGAGACAACAGGAAGAACTTCAGTTTGAAAATATTTAGAGTATATTGAATGAGCAAAATGTGTTGATTGGGAGAATATCCATCACAGTATAGAATTTTGTTAGACAATGTGAGGACTTGTGATGTTTAAGTCAGACAGGCTTGCCTCAAAATGAGTTTATGCAGGGATTTGTTTGGGTGTCTCTTTTCTTAGGATTCACAGGTCAATATTCAATTGAAGTGATTGTATGAGTGCAGAAAATTCGCAGGCTGGTTTGCAACAGAGGGGTAGTTGTGCATTGTATACAAAAATAAAGATTGTTTGGAATAAGGAATTTGTGGCTGTATTGGTAGAACAAATTTTAATGTTCTTGGAAGCCTGGAGAGACTGGGTGTGCTCTGACATACTTTCTCTGTTATCCAAACTGAATCTATGGCATGTATGTAAGATTTGAGATTATGGATTCTTCTGCACTTGCCCTGTGTTGGGATTTTTTTAGGAAAAAGCTGAGTTCTGAATATAAGTGGAATGAGAGCGGGCACACAGTAATTGCAAATGGTGCGTTGCTTGATTATCAGGTTTAACATGTCATAGGGTCTTGCTGACCTTTTCTGTCAATGCCAAACATGGGCAGATGTTAGCATTAGAGAGAAAAAGAGAGCAGAAGTGGATAGATGTGAGCAGGCCAGTTGCCAAAAGGTCAGCTGACAGTGTGCTGACATCAAGAGCAATCTGGAGAGTCCTCCTTACCCAAGCAAGCCTTTGCAATGTGTGGTTGTCTGTATATGCAGGAGCCACAGCAGTGTCTGTAAGCCAGTCTCTCATCTGGTCAGTACATCTTTGTTGCTATGAGACATATTGTCCTTGTCTTGTTTTGGCTGATTTCTCTAATCTTAGTCTCTGCAGTTTGTTGTTTCATCTGGTGAGAAAAGACAATTAAGGGGAAATGGGCATTTAGGTTGCCTTTTGCATTTTCACTGGATTGGCAGAAGTACTTCCCTCCGAGATCTGCATGCAGTGTGTTACTGACAGCTTGTGACTTTGTTGTCTCTTCCCATTGCAGTCTATGTAGCTTTGGATTGTTAGGGAGTAATAAAAAATACATTTTACGTGGGTCACAGCTATAGCAGTAGCTTGAGGAGGTGGTCTCAATGAAGAGATGTACTTGTGTGCAGCAAATGGTTTCCCACAGCCTCTTGTGGGTTGCTTTGCTAAATGCTTTTTAGAGAGGACTGCAAGATGCTTCCAAGTGGTGGATGATGTAGTGAAGGTAAAAAGTTCAACTGCTACAGTGTGTCCTGTTATTCATCTTCAGAAACCTTGAGATAACTGTGGTAAGTGCATCATCCTCATCCCTCCCCCCATACCCAGTCACTGAAGATCTGCTTTCATGTGTGGCTTCCTCTGTTCATTGTCTGTGCAAGGTAAAGATTCTGGTTCTGACACTTTTCCCACCAGGAGTCTTAATTTTCCTGAGAAGCAAACAGTGCTTTTGTCATGGCATATCAAAATACCCATGAAAGGTCATTAGATGGAAGAAAGGCACCTGCTGGTGAGATGCATCGAAAGGGAAGTCTGATAGTCTAATGAGCAAGACACTGAGATCTAGTTTCTGCATTTTTCTTTTCTGTGGACATGTGTCAAGTCAGCTGTGTTTGTAAGATAATGCAAAAAATATTTATCTTCCCAACTTTTTGCCTATATGTATTTTCAAAATGCATGCTCCTTTTGCAGTGGGTGTCTTCTACTCTGTGTGTGCATGGTGCTCCCTTTCACATGTGGCTGCTCACTGGTACTTTGGAAAGTATTTTAGTGCCCATGTCAATGATAAAAGAGTATAAGCCTATTCAGGAAATTAGCTCTGCTTTTCCTCTTGAAAATGTGTGTCAGTACTCCTCAAAAACTAGTGTCTCTGAACTCTTATCTTTACATAGGGCTCAGAAAAACAAGATTACAAAACATTAGAATGCAGCAGAGAGTGTAGCTGTTGGAAAGATGACTGGAAATCTAGGAGGGTGAGGGTGGAAGGAGGCGCTGTGGATATTGGCAGTGGTCCTCAATCTGCTTCAGTTGCCCTACTGCATCAGAAGCCAGGTCTGCCCTTGAAGAAAATGAAAGCTATTTTTTTTCTTTTTTTTTTTTCCCTCCCCACCCTCAGATATTATAACCTAAGAAGAATAAGGCTCAGAAATAGGATTAGAGGTTCATGTTCTTGGTAAGGACAATCTGAGCTTTCATGAGAAAGCAGGTTAATAAGAAATCTGACAATCTGGAATAGGCTGTGGGAAATCATTTCTACCATCACTGGCTTAATAATGACTTTAAAAATAATTCCAAACTAATTAATTCCTAGAGACAATGAGGTGATAAGGAAGAACAAGATTCTTGAGCCTGGTATCATGCTGAATAGGTACTAGAGAAAAGCCTTTTCTTGCTTGCTACTTAAAGGTGAGGAAGGAAAATCATTATATGTAGACTGTAAAAAGTGTGTAATAGTCTACACTGCCTCGTAATGCAGAATCTCTTGCAGCAGTGTTTAGTTCAGAAGGCTGTACTAAATTTCTGGTCAAGATTTCATCCACATCTGTGTATATTCTCTTTGGTTGGGGTAAGAAGCTTCAGGTTTTCCCACTTTTCAACCCCTGGCCCACTCCCTTTCTACTGCAGAATGTCCAGCAAAAAAGACTGATCAATTAAACAACAGGAAACTGCTGCCTACAGCAGCTAAATCACATCTGATTTGTAGATGAGGTCATTTGCAACTGAGGCAAGTACATGCATTTTACACAGTGGGTGCTCGCTCTTGGTGTGCTTTATCCCTTTGAGGCCTTTAACAGCTCTTTTCTTTGAGTCAGCTTTGATCCAAATCTTGGCTCTTAGCTGGACAGCAGCACAAAATTGAATGTAGATATACAATTGCATGCCATATATTTTAAAGGAGACAAAAACACAACTCCCCACCTCCTAAGAGAAAACAAATTACCATCCTTCAAACCCCCAGAGATGTGAAGTATCATCCAGTTTTGTTTTCCTCTCTGCCTGTGTCATAAATGCCATTTGGACCATGTTAGTTTTCCTGATTAAAATCCCAGGGGTCTTGGCTTGGTTTTTTGTTGCTGCTGTTGTGGGTTTTTGTGTTTTGGTTTTTTTTCCCTGGTATTCTGCGGTTCTTAGCATTCTCTCACCTATTCAGGCATTTAAAACATGAAAATAAAGCCTTGGAAGCTTAATTCATTAAGGAGCAAATATTCACTGTCATTAGTAAACTGGGGGAAAGGATGGGATTCAACAGGAGATTTTTCTAGTGATAGAATACTAATGGTTTTAGGGGAAAAAGTTTAATTCAGTGTATCCTCGTAGATACCAGCTATTCTATATCCCCCTTGTTTATGCTGTCTCCATGACCATGCTTCAAGAATTGTTTTGCTCAGCTTGATTCCTTCTCATCTCTTGATCCCTGCCAAGGCAGTGTTCTTGGCTGCTTTGAGAGACATGGAGTAAACATTTGTCGTCAGTAGTACAAAGTTTGTTTGGCAGTTTTAACAGCCAGATACAGTCCTGAAGAGTGCTGCACACACATACTTGGATTGAATGGGCAGGGGTACCTTTCATTTTACTGGGCTTTGAAAAATAATTAATTCTTTAAAATGACAAAATGCACAGACTATGAAAGTCATGCTTTGATATTAACTTTTCCATGAGAAATCTCAACACAAATCTGTTTAGCTGGGTGATAGCCAACTGGACATTTGCTAAATATGAGGAAAAATCTTCAGCTGTAAATGCTTTGACATGAACCGAGTGTTTTTTCCCCAGACTATCTGGGATGTTTATATGAGTGGCTGTTTAGCAGGTCTATGCATTTTAGTGGCATCGTTCCTTTAGCCAGCATCTTCTTTTGACAATACTTGCTTGATTCATCCCACTGTAATTTGCTTCCATGTACTTAACCTGATGGCTCAGTACTAAATGGCTTCATCTCTCTTGAAGCTGAATCTATTAAATGCTGCAACTGCTTAGTACAATGTGCCTTTCAGAAATAAGTGGGATCAGTACAGCAATGCCTATCAAGTGTCCAACATTAACTGCCTAACTTTGGCTTCATGGTTCCTGTTCTCACTTGTTCATGGTGGGGAGTCTGGCAGGCCTGGGAAATAAATACCTGTTCAAAATGCTTCTTTGACTAGTGCCTGGTGAGATGGATACCCGTGGGGGTGGCTGCCAGAACTCAACCCTAAGCCCAAATGCACTGTTCCTGTTTATAATGCAGCTATTCTCTTTTCCTATAGGCTCTTTTCCCTGCTAAACTGGTGGCAGGCACACAGCATTTCTGCTCATGTGCATCCCTTCTTACAGTCCTTCCTACAGTTCTCTCATCTCACTGCATTTGAGACTAAATTTGCCATGCCCAGAGTACTTAATGAAATCAGACACTTTGCTATGAAGTTGTCATGAAGAAATGGATATTGCCCAGACTCAATACTTTCACTTTACAGTCTTTCCTGGCTTTTTTGAGTTCTGCCCCTATTCTTGACGAGATACATGAGCCCATGTGTATCTTGTAGTAGTTCATCACCTGCCATATCATGATATTGACTTGGTCTGCAGAGCAAGCTCTTGCATTCCCAACAAATATATTTGTGGTGAAGAAGCAAAATTGCTATTCTGGGAGGCAATATCCAAACCCCAAAACAAACAAACAAACTGAAACTGCTCACCTCCCCAAGATTATGCAGAGGATAAAATCCAATTTCTGGGGCAGTCTGCAGGCACACACAGCCACAGGCAGGCAGTGAGTGCCTGTATGACAGGGAGCTGGAGCGAGAGGAAGCCTTGAAACTTAAACTCCTCCTGCAGCTCTGCATCTGCTCTGAGTCACTGGTATGACTCACACTGACAGTGTTCACGTTAGCTAGTGTTCAGATGGAGCAGCTCTGGCAACAGAAGAAGCAGGTTATATTATTGATTACCTGCTGCAGCAGACAGTTGCACCAAGATTCATTTTTACGAGCACAGATGAAGCAGAGGAGGCTCTACTGAGCACTGCTGTAATTATTAGTATTGCTTTCTTAAGGTAAGAATGCCTGTTTATTTAAATACGTACCAAAGGGAATTTGGAGCTTGTGAAGTCTGTATTGCTGTTGCTGTTATCCTCAGAGGATGCTGATCTTTGGAGCTGTGTTACTGCAAAGCTTTGTCTGGACTGTTTGCTGCGCCATATGGAGAATCATATGGCTAATGGGCAGTGTGTGTCCTAGGAAACAAAATAACTACTTTCTCATTCATTGGTGTTATGTAAGGCATGGCAGCCATGTTAAGGACAGAAGACCTCTTTTCAAGAAACGGTGCTGCTTGACAGTAGGGCAAGGAAAACAAGTAGTTTTTAAGCAACTCTCTAGTCTTTGGAGAGTGCTGCAGTTCTCTAGTTCTTGCTTAATGAATTTCTGTGTCAATAGAAGAAAAAAAGCAGTTGTATTTGAGGTAGCAAAATAATTGTTTACCTTTAGAGTCACTGTGTTGTTTTGCCTTCAGCATTCCGGCTGGGACTGTGCATGTGATCCGTGCAGTGCCTGGATGTAAACAGTTTCTTCAAATACTATAAGTGGTACTTCCAGATATTGGGGTGGTTTTCATATTGTGCTACTAAAAGCACATATGTCATGTTCTGGCAATTAATAATATGCAAAAAATGAGACATATTCTAGTTAGTGTTGATATATGCAGAGTAGGTATAACATTTGTTTATAGTGGCTTTACTGCTATTTTACTCATTTTAGTGCTATAATTTCAATGTAGGTTGGACTGGTATCGCTTATTATGTTCTTGTAGAATCCTCTGAGTCTTGAGCATTTGCTATATTCCCCACAAGAGATTTTATAAGCTAGAGATTCTGGTTTTGAACTGCAGTACTGAATTTATCTTAATTTATTTTTTTCTTTTCTCCTCTTTTTTACTCTTCTATTTATTTTGTACTTGCAAAGCAGTATCCTTTTAAAGTACAGTGAGGTTGGCAGTTGTTTTCTGTAATAAGGGAGGCAGATCACTTGTGTTTGTTTTCAGAATGAGGGCATTTTCAAAACCTGGTCATTTCCTAGATTGCTTTCAGGTACTTGAAATTACCACTCATTTCTATGTAGAATTTACATAAAAGGGACGACTGTCATGTCTCTGGAAGAATTACAGTGCCGTAGTAATGGCATTTAAAAATGACAGCATACTTTAGGTTCTTCCTCTGTTTGCTAGTTTATAGCATTTACTGATGGACAGTGTTTTCATTGCTAAGAATTAACCAGATTTGGTGTTACTCTAGCTTTTATAATCGATTCATTTTCTTAATAAAATGGAAAGTAAGGTCTGTTAGTGCATTTGTAGTATCTTTATACTTCTGGTGACATCCAACTTGGAAAACTACAGTGCGAGACAAGAATTTAAAACAATGTCTGTCTTGGTTCCCTAACTCCCAGATAAAAAAATTTATTGACTAATTTTATGACTTGTGTTTCTGATATCAAATATTTCTCAACTTACAGCATTATAAATGCAAACTAGTTTAAACAGTGTTAGGGTTGGTTTTGGAACTGTTCACTAACAAAGTTCTGGCATGTGACAGCCTTCTTCTCCTCCCAGATCCAAACAAGTAGAAATAAAACATTCTTTACACTCTGAATTTTTCCACTGATTTGTATCTTAATTATTTTTATTTAAGATTGTGTCAGAATTTTGCCTAAACAATTGCCTTTAAGTATGCATTTAGGTACATTATATCTGTATTAAGTGCAAAGGAACCAGCTGCATTTGATCCTTCTATGGAGGGATTTTGTGGTAAGTATAACAGGGCTTGTCAAAGTCTGCTCTCTAGGCACCCTGAAAGCTGGGGTTTGTTACCTTAAGATAGCTTTGTATTAGGCTGCAAAGGTAAGAAGTGGCAGAGGCTATTTGCATTATTTGACTGGTACTTTTGGCAGGACTTGAATTGTTTTCAAGAGAGTTCATGATACCTTGGCCTTTTTTTCTGTAAACCCAAACAGAAGATCCCAGCTCTCTGTTCTCCCCTCCTGTTCCTAATCTACAGGATGTCAAGGTTGTTTTTCTCATCTCTGCATTGCTACTGAGCCATGCTTTGTTATTTTTGCCTTCTCTAAAGCTTTTGTGACTACCTGCTGAAATTTAAGCCCCCTTTTTGATTCTCACTTCAGCTGCTCAGGTGTGGATTCTCTCCCCTTGGTAGGTTTTCCACCTAAGAAAGCCTCGAATGCCACAAAGCTCATGTAATTCAGCACTTCTCTTTTGCTCCTTGTGCTGCTTGTGTTCCAAACAACAGGTAGGGTGTTAAGGTTGTCCTTTATTTGTTTCTTCCTTTGTAAAATCTTCTGCTTTTTTTTGGTGGCTTTTGTGGCCACGCTCTGTGTTACTCTGAGCCATTTGTCAGCCTTCCTGGCAGCTGCTGCATTAACTCTGATCTCTTACGTGTCTTGCTCTTTCAGTCCTTGAGCAGAAGTTTCAAAACAGACAGTGGCATCATCCTTGGGCATGTTGTTCTACCTCTCCCTGCCGTGACAGCAGGAAATGGCTGCAGGAAACAGAGCTGGTGCTGTGGGTAGTACATAGAGAAATGAGGACCCCAGAAAAAATAAAGCATTTCTCCAAAATTCTTTAGTGGGGGGAAGCACTTACTCTCCTATTTTACACAAAAGCTGCATTAGTAATGATTTATAACTAGCCTTGTCTGATGAAGAAATTAGGGGAAATCCAATTCTGTCCTTGCAATTAATTTAATTTATGTGAGTCATCTTTAATATGAGTGATATTTTTTTATTGCATTACATTTATATTGTTTTAGCTAATGATCAACCCAAACTGGACTGCTGTATCAGAAGCTGAGTTTACACAGAGTAAAAGATGATTCATGCACTGAATAAGGACTTATATTTTTTCCCTAGAAAATACTGAAAAAATGGCTGTATTTTCTATGGTGGTATGCTGTTTGACAATAGACTTCCTGATAAAGGACTCTGCAGTATATGAAAAAGCAGCATCTTTGTGTTTGTGTAGTACATCCTTGTCAAAGAACATCACAGCATTTCAAATAGGAATTTGAAATGGAGAGAGGGGAAAATTGTAGAAGTTAGGGTTTTTATACTAGTTTTTGTTTCTTTTTTTTGCATGTTTGAAATAAACCCATGTAAACTTGAGTTCTGTTGGAATAAAATCCTTGCATATGAACAGTATGAATAGCACCATTTGCAGTACTGGACCATCTTGTTTGTTGGAGAACTCCTCTATTTGTGTAAATTTTAGAGACGATAATTTTAACATGAGTTATTTTTGGGTTCTTGTATAAGTGTAAGCATGTAGAGGGCATCTCCTTGGCCCCTTTGGCTGTTTTCTGATGAAGTCTTCTTATAGTATTTAGATTTTTTGCCTGGTTTTAAAGAGGAGGGGGAAAGAGTTGTTAAAACCTTGTTTGTGGTGTGTCCTGAAAAGCTCTTCACTTAATCCTGGAGTGGTTCAAGCAGGGGGACACAGAGGGAGGTGGTGAACGTGTCCTGTTGCCCTGGAAGGCCTGAGCTGTTAGAGGGGCTCCCAGCTCACTGTGTTGCACCAGCTTTTGCATCAGGCAGAAAAAGTCACAGTCTCATTTTTTGTCTGTTTAAACCTTTGTGTATTCTGAAGCTTGTGCTAGTTTAAATAAAGAGTGAATGGTACAGCCTATACTCTGAGGATAACAATGATGGTCCTGTCATTTGCCTTCAGGGTCGGGGTTTGCACTCGACTTCATGACTGTGTCCCCCTGTCGTGCTCTGGAGTCAGAGCCAGTGAGGATGAGGATAGTTCATTTTGCTTTGGTTAAATGAGGCTATGGCCTGGATTATGATGGCATGTTATTTCTGTGCAGAATTGTCCTTGTATTTTATGGGGATGCAGAAATCTGGGATTAGCTCAGTTTTCAAATTGATGCTTTGCCTTTAAAGCAGCAGAGTACCTCTGACTCGTGTGCATGAGCTTAAATAAACAGCACCTAATTGGTAGGTTTGATGTCTCGCATAACTATGAATTGACCTTCTATGTTCAGGTGAAACACAGTTTAAAGGGAGTGGGTTCATGATCCTTAATTCAAATTTACTTTTTAGATAAATACTTGTTAGTGCCAAATGACAGAGCAACTACAGGCAGAGGTGAATAACAGAGCATGGAATCTGCTGTTAAAAAAAAAAATAAAGACAGCACTGCAATATTCTAGATTGCACTAAATGCCAATAACTTCATCCAATTTCCTGTATGTGATAGGTGAATGTATTATAAGTCCCAGATTCCTGAAATACAGACTGCTATGAAAGATTTCTTCTGTCGCATTTCAGAAATAGACACAAGAGGTCTGACTTTACAGGATAAGATTTATTTTTTTCCAGGCTTCAGAGGCTTCAGTGTTATTTCTGTCAAGCAGTTGGAAGGGCTTCCCCTGAGGATATATGGACCAAAATGGTAAAATGTTGATTTGTATAATGCACATACAGGGACACGAAATAAATAATACCATGTTGACAGTGTCCTCTATTGTTTCGGGAAAACTTGGCAGAAGAGCTCTTTTGAGCTCTGTATGATATGTGGATTCGTATGAAAAGGATTGTGTCACAAATATTACTGTAATTAAATATCAGCATCATGGCTCTAAATACATGACATAAAAGTGCATGCAACTGAGCTGGCTAGAGTGAGTTCTTTCTGTCATAAACACTCTCTCAAATGTGGGTGTCTGGGAAAAGTTACTCAAACTATACTCTGTTCCTGGGAGAAATAGATGACTTTCAATTGTGTTTTGGTAAACAGGAGGTAGTGAGTAATAGGAAGAATGTGGCCTTTGTGGTTTTGCCTGCATAAGGAAGATTCCTCATCATTGTTCCATAGCTTTGTAGATTCTGATGAGAACATGATATTATAATGCTGACACTGCTACAGAAAACTGATTTTACACAGGAAAGTTGCTTGGAAAAGTGACTACTCTTTTGCTAGTGCATAATAGGAAAGGCAGATTTTACTGGCACGTAGTTAGAGAGACAGAGTGCATGGGCATAG